CCAAATTGATATATTGATCAAGGCAAAACAATGACAAAAATGTCTCAACAATTCAAAATTATACAATGTTGCCGGTTTCTTATTATGCAAATCAAGAGTTGCTGATATACAAAATTAGATTGTTTCAAAGATTTTTGACAGCATATACACTTGATTTTTAACGATGACACGTGAATTGAAATATTTCCAATGGTATTTCAGGTATGTCATTTTCAAATTGACATCAAGATCGAGACAAAACAATGACAGGAATGTTTCAACAATTCAAAGCTATACAATGTTGCCGGTTTGTCATTGTGCCAATCAAGCAAGAGCCGATGATAGACCAAATTTGATTGTTTCAGAGATTTTTGACATCATACACTTGACTTATGAAGATGACACGTGAATTAAAATGTCTCAATAATTCGAAATTATACACTGTTGCCGGTTTGTCATTGTGCCAATGATAGACCAAATTTGATCGTTTCAAAAGTTTTTGACAGCATGCACTTGACTTTTACAGATGGCACGTGAATTGAAGTATTTTCAAAGGTATTTCGGGTATTTCATTCTTTAATTGACAACAAAAGAATGACAGAAATGTCTCAATAATTTAAAATCATACAATGTTGCTATTTTATCATTGTGCCAATCAAGAGCCGATGATAGACAAAATTTGATTGTTTCAAAGATTTTTGACAGCGCATACTTGATTTCTGAAAATGACACGGGAATTGAACTATTTCCAATGGTATTTTGGGTATTTCATTCTCAAATTGACATCAAGATCGAGACAAAACAATGACAGAAATGTCTCAATAATTCGAAATTATACACTGTTGCCGGTTTGTCATTGTGCCAATCAAGAGCCGATGATAGACCAAATTTGATTGTTTCAGAGATTTTTGACATCATACACTTGACTTATGACACGTGAATTAAAATATTTCCAATAGTTCTTTTCACGTGACTCCGACTTAACAAACCTCAATATACCACTCAAATTCGAATGATATCGATGACGTCACTTTGTAACCAGGTTAAAAAACAGTATGTCACTTCTCAAATGGAATGGAGCTCTCTGATCTGGTTACGTTTAACAGTGATAGGGACATTTTTAAAATATGATACAAGTAAAATTTTGGTGCAGTTACTAGAGGGTACCTACATCAACCTATTAACGGCACTGGCAAAAATATTGAAAAATCAGAAATTAAATGTTCGTTTTCAAGTTGTATTTCTAATGACGTCATCACTTGACATACCTACTGCTAGTACTAACTGTTTTGTAACTCGGTTAATTTGAACCGAAACTACGTGAAAAGGACTAATGGTATTTCGGGTATTTGTCAATTGACATCAAGATCAATAATTTCCTACAATGAAAAGCTTGAAACAATAAAGTAGGAAAAAGCCGGCGATATAAGAAATCCAATGAGTAAGAGAGAAACACAGATAAAGTAGGACACAAAAAAAATAGTGGCACGAATTTTGATTGGGTATTCCCTGCGCCTTAGTAGCCTTGTAATTTTTGTGTTTGGCCAACGAAGAGACTGGAAGAATCAAATAAAAGATAGCGATATGAGAAATTCGATGAGTAAGAGAGAGACAAAGGTAAAGTAGAAAAAAAAAAAAGAGGCACGATTTTTTTTATTTTTCCCGGCTTTTGAATGGTTTTTAATTTTTTGTGTATAATCAGTGAAAAGCTTGAGACAATACCGTAAAAAAAAAGGGGCGATATAAGAAATTTAATGAGTAGGAAAGAGACATAGGTAAAGTAGGAAAAAAAAAAAATACTGGCACGAATTTCGATTTGGTATTCCTGAGGCTTGTGGCCTTGTATTTGGACAATGGAGATCCTGGAATAATCAAACAAGAGATAGTGATATACGGTATTCAATGAGTGAGAAAGAGACAGAGATAAAGTAGAAAAAAAAATGAAACACGAATTTTTATTTTCCCAAGCTTTTAAGTGATCTTTAAATTTTCATATCTGAACAATAGACCTATCTATTTTTACCTGTATGCGCGCGCAACACGAGGCAATGCATTTTTATTGGCTAACTAGTACAGGTGTGAAGTAATCCTTTTGCGCGCTGGGTATCTCTTTGTCTTTGTTCATTGCCTGGGGTCTGACAAGGATAAAATAGACCGATCTCCTATTACCTGGACTGCGCGCGTCGCTTGTAGGCTGCAGGTGAGCGTCCAATGAGAAGCAGGTTTCCTACAGGCTTACGTCATATTCTTATTCAGGGGCCAGTTCAGAATGAATCATTCCTTCTTTCTTTGTAACGTGTGATTCGACAAAGAGCAAACTAATACTTTACATATTACTTGAACTCACCGCAGTGTCGTTTAAGGTTATGTTAAATTATACTTGACATATTCCTTTGCAATTTCATTGTGCGATGTTGCCGGATGAAACATTTATCAAAATAAAAGTGCAAACGATGTTAACATACACTTTTCAAGCGCTTCTTTTGTCTGATTTAAGGAGTTGTAAAACACTTGACACTATATCACTTCTTTAATGTTATAATGTGGGATTTGTATTGTCTACATTTGTTCTGCTACAATACAATCTGGCTACACTGCACCTACGAGTTGCGCGCGCATGTCATCTTTTATTACTTTCTAACTTGTATTTATTACAATTAAGCTCTCTTTTTCTATTTATACGAGACAGGTCTATTATGCTTGATATTCAACTTGACGCAGCTTGACAAGTGATCGATTTTCAATTGTTTGTGTTTTTGATTGACAAATACGTTGCACGTCACGCGGTTTTCCTCCTTCCTTTTTTATCCCGTGCAAATAATAAGAACGGATTGCTATACGTAAGTCTAACATAATTTGGTACGTTTTGCCTCGTCTTGCGCAATAAGCGTTCTGCGTCTTTTTCTATTTAATAAAGTTTTCGTATTATTACCTCTTTGTCTGGTAAAATAGATAGGTCTATGGGCAAGTTTTTAAAATTATCAATGACATATGCGCATTTTCACCGATGTAATGCTGTCCTTGTCATTTGACAGCAGCAAAACAAGGATAGGTTACTCATCAAGAGGAATGCGTATAAGCGAATGGTGAATTTGAAAACTTGGCCAATGAAAAGCTTGAAACAATAAAGTGAAAAAAAGCCGGCGATATAAGAAATTCAATGAGTAAGAGAGAAACACAGGTAAAGTAGGAAAAAAAAGAAATAGTGGCACGAATTTTGATTGGGTATTCATGGTATTCTCAGTGTTTGAGTGGACTTGTAATTTTTTGTTTGGCCAATAGAGAGCCTCGAACAATCAAACAAGAGATAGCAATATAGGATATTTGATGAGTAAGAGAGAGATACAAATAAGGAAAAGATTGAGACACGAATTTTTATTTTTTCCCGGTTTTTGAGTGATCTTCCTGATCAATGAAGAGCTTGAAACAATAAAATGAAAAAAAGCCGGCGAAATAAGAAATCCAATAAGTAAGACAGAGACACAGATAAGGTAGGATAAATAAAATAGTGGCATGAATTTTGTTAAGGTATTTACGGCGCTTGAGTGGCCTTGTAATTTTAATAATAGAGCTTCAAACAATAAATGAAATGAGAAAAAGACAGCAATATATGCAATTTGAGACACAACTAAAGTAAGATGTAATATTTTTTATTTGACATTGACATCAAATTAATGACAGATGTCTCAACAATTCAAAATTATACAGTATTGCCAGTTTATCATTGTACTAATCAATATACAGTAGGTAATAGACAAAATTTGATTGTTTCAAAGGATTTTGACAGCTTACATTTAACTTTTAAAGTTGATTCGTGTATTGAGGTATTTCAATCTTAAATTAACATCAAAGGCAAAACAATGACAGATGTCTCAACAATTCAAATTTATACAATGTTGCCAATTCATCATTGTACTAATCAAGATTCAGTAATAGACAAAATTTGATTGTTTTAAAGGATTTTGACAGCCTACACTTGACTTTTGAAGATGACTCGTGTGTTGAGGTATTTAAGGGGACGTTCCGTAAGTTAACCAAGTTTCTTGGTTTTTCCGGTAAACGTTCCGTAACCTAACCACTCCTGAAATCTGGTTAGGTTATTAAACGCGGTTCCACACATAAACCGCATATTCAGGAACCAGACTGTCACCATAAACGAACCGCTCCATACCAATCGGTAACTCTGGTTAAGATACGGAACGCCGCCTTAATCTTAAATTGACATCAAGACAAAACAATGATAGATGTGTCAACAATTCAAAATTTTACAGTGTTGCCGGTTCATCATTGTACTAATCAACATCCAGTAATAGACAAATGGCGGTTTCCATTTGTCATCAGTACCGCACTGAGTGTATCCGCATCTTTTTCTGAAAACATGTAACATGTAAGCATAAGGATACATTTTTTTGGTCCTGATTCGACAAATGGAAAACGCTAAAAATGTGATTGTTTCAAAGGATTTTGACAGTTTTGAAGATAACTTGTGTGTTGAGGTATTTTAATTTTAAACTGACATTAAGGCTAATCAATGACAGATGTGTCAACAATTCAAAATTATACAATGTTGTCGGTGTATCATTGTTCTAATCAAGATCCGGTAATAGACAAAATTTGTTTCAATGGATTTTGACAGCATTTAATTGACTTTCAAAGATGACTCATGTATTGAGATATTTCAATCTTAAATTGACATCAAGGCAAAACAATGACAGATATCTTAATAATTTAAAATCATACAATGTTGCCGGTTTATCATTATACTAATCAAGATCCGGTGATAGACAAAATTTGACTGTTTCAAGAGTTTTGTGTAGAAAACTGTATAAAACTTTGTGTATAGAATTCAAGCTAATTGACATAATTTGACAATTGACAAAATAGATGTCTTAGTGATTCAAAATTACATTGCTGTCAATCAAGAGCCGGTAATAAAAAAAAAAAATAATTTGAAGCTAAATTGACAAGTAACAAATGGAAACGGTTGTCAATTGTCATATGGAAAGTTCTGGAATACTCACCATCATCTTCCATGGTTTCATCGTGCGTAACGCTACACTCTTTGCACACGGGGGGCGCCACCCTCGCACCACCCCCACCACTTCTAGCCATCAACTCCATATCTTTGTACCCTTCGGGCGGGCTCAAAGTGACAGCGTCAACAAATTCCATGGGCGGCGCAAACTTGGGACTTTGCGGCGTCGGCTCGTCGTACCGACAGTTACAATTCGGCTCGCAGCACGCGAGTCGTACCATTTCGTGCTGCTGGCACGTGCACACTCCTTCATCGTCATCCTCGTCCAACTCGCAATCTTCCCGTATAAGGATGATATAGTCGGCATCGAAGAATTCGTTTTTGTTCTCGTTAAAAATGACGCGGCGATTGGCGGTTTTTTTGTTGCGGTTCGGTTTTTTCAGCAGCGACTTGAGGTTGTCGCGGTCAGGGTTGTGAAGTTTACCGCTGCGCTGGTGGTCTGAGTCGTTGTTGACCATCGTCGACGATTTACCGTCACCGCGCAGACGTCTAAGACATAAAAAAACAGTGACATCTAGTGATTGTTTTCAAATAACTATTGACAGATTAACTCACCTTATAACAATAAAATGCTGATCGTCATTATCATCTTCACACTCGCATGAAGACTCACTATCACTAAACTCGTCGTAAACTTCAAAATCGTTCACGTTAAACTCGCAAAAATCGTCACAATCGCCCGGAATCAAATCTTCTTTAGTCCCGTTTTGAAAATCACTATAATCAACCAACTTGGAATTGACACCACAATCACTATAAGTTGTCAAATTGTATTGGTGATTATCCTCAACAATTTTTGATGATGTCACAGGTGGTTCGATAAACACTAAACGACCATCTTTGAAACCCCAACTCAACCCGTTATCGGTCGGTGCTGAATTGTCAGCAGCAGCAGCAGCTGGTGGATTATCCTGCGGGACAAGACGCCCGTCGGTAGCGGGCTCACAACTGACTCCTGCTGGCTCCTGCCGCGGCGTCGTTCCCGCGACGTCGATCGATGGAGAGGCGCACGGTTCGCCGTCGGCAACGTGGGACGACGAATCTGGAAGAGGATGAATCGGGTCATCTGTCAAATGTTGTTCCTCTTCAAGGTTATGATTGAGGTTATGTTCAAGGTCGTTGTCAAGGTTATCGTCAAGGTCACAGCTATTGTCATCTTTGCTAATAAATTCTTTGTTGTTGTTGAAACATTCTCGGCAAAAAAATGGTTCCTTGGTATCGCACACGCATTGGGTTCTTTGTAGGAACTCGTTGGCATCTAGAGTCAGCATTTCGATAAAATCGATGCTGTTGTTGTTGTTGTTGTTGTTGAGCAGTTCGAGTTGTTGAGGCTCTTCGATGTTCATGGTTGTACTTTGTGCAAGGTCTGCTGATACTGGAAAAAGAAATCCGGTTTTGAAAATTTGAAATATTTGACAGTTGCAATAAAAGCATGGCCTACTTGATAAAATATGATTTGGTGGTGAATATTGAAAAAAGCCTATTTTACGACAATTGGTTGGGTAATTGCATGGCTCACTTGATAAAATATTTGACAGGAAGTCTATCTGAGGGGCTTTATTCGAAATTGATGCAACTTTGTGTACACTCAAATGACGTCATTTGCGATTGAAAATTGATACAGTGTCTGATTTTTGACAGTTACCAAAATGAAATAAATGAATGCAAGACCTACTTAATTGGATGTTCGTCGGAAAGTATATCTGTTCTTTTTTAATCTTGGTAATTGGTCAAGATTTGGTTTACTTCAAAAAGATTCAGTGTTGCCAACTGCGGTTCAACTATTATAGTATAGAACGCTATAAAATTATAGTACATTTGTACAAATTATAGTATCCTGCTACAGACAAATGACTACCAATTATTGTCCTGGTGGGACACACAGAGATCGAATTATTATGAAATTTTCTGGATAAAACGAGAAAAGTCAGAGGCGTATCATACTAAAATTTCAATTTTTTCCAGTGAAAAATAACACCATTGGAAATTAATGAAAATCAATTAAATTAGGTATAAATGCATCATCTAACATTTTATTATTTTTCTGGAAAACTATTCAAGGAAAAATTATGACATTTTCTAAAAAAAAGAAAGAAAATCAGGGGCGTATCACACTAAAATTTAAAATTTTTCCAGTGGAAAATAACCCCATTAGAAATTAATGAAAATCAACTAAATTAGACATAAATGCACCATCTAACATTTTATTTTTTTTTTCTAGAAAACTGTTCAAGGGAAAACTATGACATTTCCTGGAAAAAAAAAGAAGAAAGTCAGGGGCGTATCATAGTGAAATTTCAAATTTTTCCAGTAGAAAATAACCCCATTGGAAATTAATGGAAATCGACTAAATAAGACATAAATGCACCATCTAACATTTTTTTTTTCTGGAAAACTATCCAGGGGAAAATTATGACATTTTCTGGAAAAAAAGAGAAAAGTCAGAGGCGTCTCACACTAAAATTTCAAATTTTTCCAGTGGAAAATAACCCCATTAGAAATTAATGAAAATCAACTAAATTAGACATAAATGCACCATCTAACATTTTATTTTTTTTCTGGAAAACTATTCAAGGGAAAACTATGACATTTCCTGGAAAAAAAAGAAGAAAGTCAGGGGCGTATCATAGTGAAATTTCAAATTTTTCCAGTAGAAAATAACCCCATTGAAAATTAATGGAAATCAACTAAATAAGACATAAATGCACCATCTAACATTTTTTTTTTCTGGAAAACTATTCAAGGGAAAACTATGACATTTCCTGGAAAAAAAAGAAGAAAGTCAGGGGCGTATCATAGTGAAATTTCAAATTTTTCCAGTAGAAAATAACCCCATTGAAAATTAATGGAAATCAACTAAATAAGACATAAATGCACCATCTAACATTTTTTTTTTCTGGAAAACTATTCAAGGGAAAACTATGACATTTCCTGGAAAAAAAAGAAGAAAGTCAGGGGCGTATCATAGTGAAATTTCAAATTTTTCCAGTAGAAAATAACCCCATTGAAAATTAATGGAAATCAACTAAATAAGACATAAATGCACCATCTAACATTTTTTTTTTCTGGAAAACTATTCAAGGGAAAACTATGACATTTCCTGGAAAAAAAAGAAGAAAGTCAGGGGCGTATCATAGTGAAATTTCAAATTTTTCCAGTAGAAAATAACCCCATTGAAAATTAATGGAAATCAACTAAATAAGACATGAATGCACCATCTAACATTTTATTTTTTTTCTGGAAAACTATTCAAGGGAAAACTATGACATTTCCTGGAAAAAAAAGAAGAAAGTCAGGAGCGTATCATAGTGAAATTTCAAATTTTTCCAGTAGAAAATAACCCCATTGAAAATTAATGGAAATCAACTAAATAAGACATAAATGCACCATCTAACATTTTTTTTTTCTGGAAAACTATTCAAGGGAAAACTATGACATTTCCTGGAAAAAAAAGAAGAAAGTCAGGGGCGTATCATAGTGAAATTTCAAATTTTTCCAGTAGAAAATAACCCCATTGAAAATTAATGGAAATCAACTAAATAAAAATAAGACATAAATGCACCATCTAACATTTTTTTTTTCTGAAAAACTATTCAAGGGAAAACTATGACATTTTCTGGAAAAAAAGAGAAAAGTCAGAGGCGTCTCACACTAAAATTTCAAATTTTTCCAGTGGAAAATAACCCCATTAGAAATTAATGAAAATCAACTAAATTAGACATAAATGCACCATCTAACATTTTATTTTTTTTCTGGAAAACTATTCAAGGGAAAACTATGACATTTCCTGGAAAAAAAAGAAGAAAGTCAGGGGCGTATCATAGTGAAATTTCAAATTTTTCCAGTAGAAAATAACCCCATTGAAAATTAATGGAAATCAACTAAATAAGACATAAATGCACCATCTAACATTTTTTTTTTCTGGAAAACTATTCAAGGGAAAACTTTGACATTTCCTGGAAAAAAAAGAAGAAAGTCAGGGGCGTATCATAGTGAAATTTCAAATTTTTCCAGTAGAAAATAACCCCATTGAAAATTAATGGAAATCAACTAAATAAGACATAAATGCACCATCTAACATTTTTTTTTTCTCGAAAACTATCCAGGGGAAAATTATGACATTTTCTGGAAAAAAAGAGAAAAGTCAGAGGCGTATCACACTAAAATTTCAAATTTTTCCAGTGGAAAATAACCCCATTAGAAATTAATGAAAATCAACTAAATTAGACATAAATGCACCATCTAATATTTTATTTTTTTTCTGGAAAACTATTTAAGGGAAAACTATGACATTTCCTGGAAAAAAAAGAAGAAAGTCAGGAGCGTATCATAGTGAAATTTCAAATTTTTCCAGTGGAAAACAACCCCATTAGAAATTAATGAAAATCAACTAAATTAGACATAAATGCACCATCTAATATTTTATTTTTTTTCTGGAAAACTATTCAAGGGAAAACTATGACATTTCCTGGAAAAAAAGAAGAAAGTCAGGAGCGTATCATAGTAAAATTTCAAATTTTTCCAGTAGAAAATAACCCCATTGGAAATTAATGAAAATCAACTAAATAAGACATAAATGCACCATCTAACATTTTTTTTTTCTGGAAAACTATCCAGGGGAAAATTATGACATTTTCTGGAAAAAAAGAGAAAAGTCAGAGGCGTATCACACTAAAATTTCAAATTTTTCCAGTGGAAAATAACCCCATTAGAAATTAATGAAAATCAACTAAATTAGACATAAATGCACCATCTAACATTTTATTTTTTTTCTGGAAAACTATTCAAGGGAAAACTATGACATTTCCTGGAAAAAAAAGAAGAAAGTCAGGAGCGTATCATAGTAAAATTTCAAATTTTTCCAGTAGAAAATAACCCCATTGGAAATTAATGAAAATCAACTAAATTAGACATAAATGCACCATCTAACATTTTATTTTTTTTCTGGAAAACTATTCAAGGGAAAACTATGACATTTCCTGGAAAAAAAAGAAGAAAGTCAGGAGCGTATCATAGTAAAATTTCAAATTTTTCCAGTAGAAAATAACCCCATTGGACATTAATGAAAATCAACTAAATAAGACATAAATGCACCATCTAACATTTTTTTTTCTGGAAAACTATCCAGGGGAAAATTATGACATTTTCTGGAAAAAAAGAGAAAAGTCAGAGGCGTATCACACTAAAATTTCAAATTTTTCCAGTGGAAAATAACCCCATTGGAAATTAATGAAAATCAACTAAATTAGACATAAATGCACCATCTAACATTTTATTTTTTTTCTGGAAAACTATTCAAGGGAAAACTATGACATTTCCTGGAAAAAAAAGAAGAAAGTCAGGAGCGTATCATAGTAAAATTTCAAATTTTTCCAGTAGAAAATAACCCCATTGGAAATTAATGAAAATCAACTAAATTAGACATAAATGCACCATCTAACATTTTATTTTTTTTCTGGAAAACTATTCAAGGGAAAACTATGACATTTCCTGGAAAAAAAAGAAGAAAGTCAGGAGCGTATCATAGTAAAATTTCAAATTTTTCCAGTAGAAAATAACCCCATTGGAAATTAATGAAAATCAACTAAATTAGACATAAATGCACCATCTAACATTTTATTTTTTTTCTGGAAAACTATTCAAGGGAAAACTATGACATTTCCTGGAAAAAAAAGAAGAAAGTCAGGAGCGTATCATAGTAAAATTTCAAATTTTTCCAGTAGAAAATAACCCCATTGGAAATTAATGAAAATCAACTAAATTAGACATAAATGCACCATCTAACATTTTATTTTTTTTCTGGAAAACTATTCAAGGGAAAACTATGACATTTCCTGGAAAAAAAAGAAGAAAGTCAGGAGCGTATCATAGTAAAATTTCAAATTTTTCCAGTAGAAAATAACCCCATTGGAAATTAATGAAAATCAACTAAATTAGACATAAATGCACCATCTAACATTTTATTTTTTTTCTGGAAAACTATTCAAGGGAAAACTATGACATTTCCTGGAAAAAAAAAGAAGAAAGTCAGGAGCGTATCAT